ACTGTGGCTGTTATTCAGTCAGGCCCTTTACATACATTAAAGCTCAGGTTTCACTATCAGCATAGAACATACAGCTGAAATAAGTGCTGACATCCTTCTTCTGGAAAGGATACATGCTGTGCCAATCAGTTCAGTTGGGATTACCAATACTATTATTAAAGGCCATATTTTAAACTACTATTAGTCTTGCTATTTGATGACCTAAGTATGTTGAGTCAAAAGCTCTTTAAAAATGCATTTTTTATGCAATATGATGAAAATGTACAACTGCAACCTTTCATTGCATGGGTGATGATTTCTCTATGGGGGTTTCAATCAACAATACCAGTGAAGATCTTCCTTTAGAAAGTCCTTTGTTTTTTCTGCAATTACTTTATGCAGAAGTAATGGAGCCATGTGTTTTGTTTGTGGATGAAGTTCATATTCTATGTGACAGATGTGGTAGTTCTTCTATAAATACAGAGTGAACCAACTGCTCACTCAGGGCAACAAAGGGTATCTTTGCTGAAAAGATTTAGTTTATACCACTTTTAAGTTGTTAAACAGTATTTCTTTGGCAAAAATAACATTTTTCAATCTATTTCCAAATGATCACTATCATAATTGTGTTGATTTTGATTGACACAAAATATAATGTTGAAATAATGTCGAAAATACTGTTTTGCATATTTAGTATTTTAATTAACCATAATGCAGTCAATTTCTATTTTTTGTAAGGAATACACTAATGATTGTGTGGTTTTGTGAAATTGCTGTTAATATATTATGATCTAAAGGCAAATGTGAATAGCCTTCAGATCATATAGTTTTTATAGTTATAGTTATAGTTGTGAGCTCAAATTCTTTTGCACTGTGTGTAATTTATTTTCTTCTTCTGATAGTCTTATTATTTGTCAATATTTGCATGGCTTTTGTTATAAAAAATATATTTTACATAATCTCTGGAACATATAAAAACGTGATTTCTAGAATCTGTGTTTTCACACCAGTATGAGGATTTTTGTCATTTGGGTTGTACATTGTTGGGATGCTTTTTGACCTGGACTAAAAGACAATACAAAAAGCAGTCTTCATGGTCCCGAAGAGGAAAACATTCCAAAGGACTGGCTGAGGAACAATATAATCTGTATATGCGTGTTCTCTTCCTGGTAAATGTACAGTTATTGAGTTTAATGTGAGAGGAGAAAATATTTTTTCAAATTGATCTACAGATTGATGGTGTCTGTGCCCCTCCTGGAGGCCCAGGTAGCAGCCTCCTTCCCTTGCACACAATGTCTGTATGGGAGAAAGAGTGCAGTATGTCCAGTTGTGATTTGTACTTATACATTTGTGTACATCTCCTACTGTAAATAATTCTTTACCTCCACTCCTCAAGGGCCACAGAATCATCTGGGTTCTGCTCCACATTCTCTTAATTATGCAACTGAACTCATCATTAGCCTTTGTGGTAAAGTGGATCACTTTCCCACAGCCCTGAAGAACTCAGTGGTTTGAAAAGACAAGTGAAACCAGTGTGCACTTTGAGTTATCTGCAACAATTTCACTTTCAGAGTTGATTTCTTACTCTGTTTATCAAAGATGATTTCAGATATTCAGTTGTAAGGATTCGTGGATTATAAACTATATACTGTACAATGTATATACTATGTGTATCCCAGCAAAAACAACTCAAAATAGCCACTGTGCTGACACACAATGAACTGTATCCACGAGGTAGAGGAAGGACCCTGTGCGTTGTTCTTAAAGTTTCAGGAGATCGTTGGCTACTATTCCAAATCGCTGGGCTAAAGTCAAAGTCAAGGGATGAAGGTGTGTGTCTTAAGAATGTCGAAGACCAGGGTTTCAGTCAGAGGGGGTTGAAGGCTAGATATCCAAATCCCGAGGCTGAAGTGGGAGACGAAAGATGAAGGTAGATATACATATTCCAAGACCTGAGTATGTATCAAAGAGAATGTATCAATAGAAACGGAAAGGTAGGAGCTCCAAGGATAGAGGCTAATACTGAGCACAATCCTGAGGGTAATAAGGACTTAAATTTCAAGTGGCTTTTGCGTTGTGAGCAATGGCAGATTTTCTCTTATTTACTGGGAACTTTTAAAACCAAGAAGTCTGAAGTCCTGGACATTGTATGAAAGTGAAGAAAGAACTGAGATCTGAAGAGTGGAACCTTATAGATTTTTATTTCCCTTCCTTCACTGTGCAAACAGTGGACCATTGATTCCCCCAAGTTTGCAGTGATCTTTTAGGATAGTGTTACTGCAGAGGTTGAGGTTCATTACATTAACAGTTTGCTCCTGACTGCAGAGTGTCCTGCTTCAAGGCTGCGGTCAAAACAAGTGCACTTAGGAAGTTTATTATTCAGTTTACTTCACAGCAATGGAATATCTCTTTGGAGGATCTTAAACAATAAGGTATGATAGGAAACCAGAGCTACTGTAGGTAAATGTTTCTACAGATTATAGTTTTTTTTTTAAACAAAAATACAAAAACAGTTTTGAACTACTTCAATCTAAGATGAAGCCTCCAAAACCAGCACCCCTTTGACTGGAGTGTATTCAGATTTTCTTTCCACTTGAGGTGTACATTATTATTTGAACCCTTACATGAATTAAGAATTTAGTTATTTATGCCTTACGGACTATTATTAAAGCACAGTTAGAGTTTTCAGCTTTCCAATTTTATCATTAACGTTTTTAATTAACTCAAAACCTGATCATTATTAAGAAGTTAAGTCCAAATAATTCTATTAAATGTTAGATTAAGTAATTGAAATAGAAGCTCCGGTGAAAACTGGAAAACAGTGGAGTTTTAAGAACTGGCACTGGAATGTTCTGTCCTAAAACATTTTCTTGTGGTTTAGTCTCCAGATTTAAATTAACCACGTGCTCCCCCACAGTACATGGAGTATAAATCAACATCAACTTCTTAAAAGCAATAGCTTAGATCCGATCAAACACTATTTCATTGCTATGTAGGTGATGTAGCTCCTGAGCTAACTTTTAAACAATTTGTTTTAGAAATCACCATAACACTAGCCTATTTATTTGTTATATTATTTTTTGTTTGTTTGGTCAAATGAAACTGAAATGTTAGAATGGTGTGTTACGGTACATTCATTTAATGATTTGGACATGCATACAATTAGAACATTCTATCCACTGCTAGAACTCATATAGAATGCTGTTGAGTAAATACAGTTTAATTTGGTTTCAATGTTGGAATAAGACTGCATGAAAATAAATGTAGCTTGTGAGTGACACACAATTAAATCAGCTAGCATAGGAACACAGTCTTTTCATTTCCTCATATTCAAGCTAGAGAAACACATTCCGATACATTTTATTTTGAACAGCTATTAATGTAAGAAAATACTGTAAGCACAGTCAGCATCACAGAATATGTAAGTGTAATGCTTTCTCTTAAGTTCTTTTTTCACAGAGTAATATGGTGTTCACTACTACAAAGGGACACTTGCGGAAGCATTTTCTATCAGGCTAAATGAGTTGCTATTATTTGAAAAATAAGGACAAACTTACAGTACCAAAAGCAAATATGTCAAGTGTTAATGGCTAGCCCTCTTTCCAGAAAGCCATAATCCGGAAAGCCTTATACAGCAGTGCACCCTTTAATATTGGTCTATACAGACAACAAGAAAATATAAGGATTTAATCAATCTGGGAGAGAGGAATGATCAATGCTGTTCCATGATATTCTGCGCACTGTGTTTTTATTCCATTCAATCACGAATATCATGGTTTAGAAGTAAAACAGTTCAGCGTGTTCAACATTGATGATTAAGGGTGATCCATGAAATCTACAGTACTGTGAATGTCCAGGACCAGGGCTGGCTCACCTCGAGTATACAGGGATTGTTAAATTAGCACCCTGGAGGATTCATGTGACACTTTAGTTTCATCATGCTCTTTTCTTATGAGCCAAGCAGTAAACGGCAGGTGTGCAGGCGAGGCAGCAGGCTGTGAGTACAGCTCGAGTTCTGCAAAGACTGGTTCCAACTGCAGTCTGCAAAGGCATGACATGGAATTAGCTTTCAGAGAAATGAAATAACTAGACAAAAAGAAATGGCAATGGATCGAACGTGGATTAAATAGACAAATAATCTGACTCAAGGCTTTTAACAATTCAAACACTGTCATCAGATTTCTAGGTTATATTAGAAGATGATAATTTAAATAGGTTTTCAGCACTTGTAAGGATTGATGTAGTGAAGGTCAGACAAGGTGTCATAGATACTCTGCAGAATACATAAAACATAAGACATACTGTATTGTAACATACTTGCAAAAGTTAGGTATACACAGTCACATTCAAGCTAAGAGAAACTAATGTTTTTTTTTATCAATCTTTACCTGGACCACTAACTACAGTCCAGTCAGTGCCATATTTAAATGAGGCTGCATTTGAATCAATACAGTAACATGACATTTTGATTTTTTGTTGAAATATACTAGAGAATAGTCCAAACCCACAGATTCCTCTTCAACCCAGTCCAAACAGGCAATAGTTCTGGTATGTTTGTGCATTTTTTCTGTAGATGAAGAAGAGAAGTGATCAAACTGTGAAATTATTAATACATGTGCCTTAAAATAAAGGTACATTTTTAATTTGTTATTCAACACTTTAATGTATCTGTTGTTTCAGTGACTATGTGGGTAAAAGATTTACTAAATTGTTTTACTAAAACAATTTTAAAACATCCATTCATTTATTGATTTAATAAAAAAGTAGTTCAGGTGGGTAGCTGCGTCAGCATGCATAGGTTGCAAAGGAACAAGTAATAGGTTTATTTCATGCTGAAAAAAAGAAGAAAGAAAACACAACGTTTCGGCCTGAAGAAGGCCCCACGGCCGGAACTTTGTGTTTTCTTTCTTCTTTTTTTCAGCATGGTATAAACCTATTACTTGCATATTAGCAAAAATACATTTTAAGCAATTTTACTGTATATACTGTGCATACGTATGTGTGTTTGTGTCATTCAACAGCTGAGCCCAGTCATAATGGACACAGTCCTGAAAGGGACATTCAATGCAACCCTGAACAATCCCCTGATGAATCATGGAGACTGCCTGAAGTCCCAGTCCTCAGCACAGCACCCATTTGCTCTCAGCACTGGCTAGGATTGGTGTAAGGTGGGTGTCTCACTACAGAACTCAGTAATTAACACTTGCTCACATAACTGCTGGCTCAAATAGTTATATACTTCAATTTCAAATATAATAAAAAACTAAATTTTTCTCATTACACATTATATACAGTGCCTATAGAAAGTCTACACACTCTTTCCACTGTAACATATTTTGTGATGCAACAGCCATTTTGTTTTAAAATAATGCTTAATCCTGATAACATCTATATTTTTCCAGTACAGAAATAAGCATTTTAGTTTTCTTCATGTTTTACAGGGGAACAAAATATGTCCATAAGTCACGAACTATATACTGCAACATTTAGAACTACAGTTGAGAAAAAATTAAATAAATGACGTCCTTTGCAAAAACTATGCAACATATATCCTAGTGGATGATTCAGTGTACTAATTTCAGAACTCCTGCAGCCAGCCACAACACAATTGATTTTAGTTTCATTTAACAAATGTTTTCTAACTTCCTTTTTTGTTTGTTTTCTTGTAGGTGGGAAGTCTTTGTGCAGTTGGAATGAATAAAACCCCAACACTGTTTTATTCTTGGCACTGAAATAAATTCTAAGTAAAATGAATGCCTTTAATTTTGTCTTGCTGTTCTTTCAGTGTCCACGTCGTTGTGAGTTCCCAGGGTGACATGGGTTTCGGTAAAAGTTTCTGTGCCCTTTGGAAGATATGGATGAATGTGAATACCTTTCTTTGTGGAGTGCTGATTTACACCCACCCCAGCCCCCAGCTCTCCCCATGCCTGCTGGTCCTTTGACAATTACACAAGATAAATCAGTTTGGTATTTCCAGCAATGATTTAGGCAGCCTTTTCATTACTATAAATCTTCAGAGCACAAAGAATTTAGTGGTGTCGGCACATTGATCTTGTGAAGTAAATTGTACTGGAGGCAGCCCGAGCTGCTGATAAACAATACATTGATGAGAATAACGTATCCGTTTACTTTTAATCAATGCTCTGTCTCACAATGTATTATACAAGAGACAGGTTAATAGTATTCAGTATCGCACTGTTGTTCTTCAGACCCTTTTAATCTAATTGGGAACTATGCCTTTCAGTCATTAATAAACACTCTCCAGGAATGCGAGTATGTGCTTGAGACAATGTTATTTATGTTCATTCCTTTCTTGTCTTTATCTTTAATCAGACTGACTGTTTTACATCTGCAAACTAATTAAATCAAATAAATCATTCAACAGATCTGATCAAAATTCTGACTTTAATAAATCTTCATTACCTTGAATTACATGGTATATCATTACTGTTATTTATACAATAAATATGCAAACAATAAAATGGGGGGCTGTAAATCTACCCTCGAAACAATTTAATATTGCTGCTTTTTATTCTGGAACAGTCTCACTGACGTTACTCTTGGCATTGTTAAATCAGTCTCTTACAAAGTTCTGGAATTACTGAAGCAGAATGGGCACTGCAAAGGTCCTGTGGTCGTCAGTCAGAACATGCTTGTTGGAATACAGAAAAAATGTGCAGGTGTTCTGAAGGACAGTGTGGAAATGACAACATCTAAACCCCTTGCCCTAAGCATTGTAACATTTTTGTAATCAGATGCACAAAATTACAGAATGTTGATCAAAATGAAATATAATACATACTGTACAGTATAGGACATTGACAGCTATATACAGTATACTGTAGGATCTATTGTCTCCAGCCATCCACTGTTGGAAAAATGCAGTCTGTAAAGTTCTGATAAGAAAGTAGAACTTTGTTTGAATGCAAACATGATGGTCTTAACTGCAAGTCACACAGAAACAGGCTAAAGGAACTGAATCTCTGAATCCTGACAGCTATCAACCCTGTGATTCAGAAAGACTGTTTCAAGTTCAGCCATAAGATTAGGGTCCATGGACAGATATGGAAAATGACAAGAAGTGCATGCAGAATTGGAAACAGCAGGCAGTTCTTTAATAAGAGTTATCATAGGTACATGGAAGAGCCCAGCTGTCGTCAAAGCTCTGGAATCCTTAGGAAACAGCTGGGTGACTTTCTTGGATCATCAAGCTACTAACACCCAATTAAGCAAATGAGCTCCTCTAGTTTGTCTATGTAGTTTTATATCCTTTCTGATATGAAAGAAGTGGTGCCACGATACTGCTTCATAATTCTGTATTATGCAAGTTAGTTTACAAAGAATAAATGTGGCAGCAAAAATTATCCCTGAATATGCTATTTTTTGGTCCAGAAGTGTTCAATTTGGTGAACAGAAATTTCTTGTAACTTATCAAAGTATCGTTTCACTTGGTTTATATAACCAACAGGCAGTTTTCATCATGCAACCTTGTGGATAACACTCTTTCACTTTCTTCTCTTCTTTTCCTTTTTTCTTTTGTTCTGTATAATGAAAAGTTATATTTTTTTCAGAAAAAAATAATTATGTTTAGAATGTCCCTTAATAACACTTCTTAAAAGATTTTATTCTGCTGCACCAACCTCTTTAGAATCTCCTATGTACTGTAGGAAGACACACTGGCCACATTCCTGATTATTTTAATTCATTCATTCTGATATTGTTACTGTTTAAGAAATTCTTAAAATTTGAGCGACTGTAAAAATAATTTGTTCCAAAAATTGAGCAAGAAATGAAAGAAAACATCTAAAAACTTGATTTTCATTAATGCCTTTGTCTATTTTTTCCATGAAGTCTTTACTGTGTTCAAGCTTCCAGATGTTTCACTGTCTACCAGAAAACTAGATTTTCCACCAGCTTTAAAATGACTATGCAAACTAATGCATTAAAAACTACATTATTATCCTCTCATAGAATTAGAAGGAGAATTCCATGCACTATTCAGCTACAGTATGAAGCAGGAGCCTACATACTGTATGTACCATCCCGATGGTAATCCCTGGGATGGTACAGTCTACAAGATCAGTGCCGTTGGTTTAAAATCATAAAAAAGAAAGACCTTCTCATGTCCTACAGCAACGAGTGATTCTCACTGCTGCTACTAGAAAGACACACAGGTCTTCCTGGTGTTCCTTCCACTCCAGCATATGATGACCTCATCTGGGCAGTGAGCAGTGGGTGACCATTTGTTGGATTGGACTGTTTGACAGATTCCAGACAGACTGTAAATTCAATTCAAGATATAAGAAACATCTGTGCACAACTGTGGTTTTCCAGAACCAGCATTATCACCAGCCAAGGCTAACAGCTATCCATGATTTGTGGAAAGACTTTGAATCATTATGCTCCAACAACTTGCTTGCTCAATTAAATTGTATATTGCATCTAATATTTAATACAATGTTTCATGATCAGTCTTTGTACTGTATATCTACTGCTAGATAAAGACATCCTCAGCATTTTTCCATACGCATCTGATCCTGCAAACCAGTTGAGGTAATCTTGTTATGTTACAGGAGGTCTAATTCTTAGTTTTTTTGTTTCATCGGATTCAACCACGTATTGCTTTGCCCTAACAAAGATCCATTCTCCTTGCAACAGTATGTGGCTGACCCTTTGCCATTTATAAATTAACCACAAGTCAAAAAACATGGGGAATTTTAGGCATGAGGTGAAAGTATACAGATCAGATTGCAGTGCTGTTAGCAAAATCTTTTTGAAACATTTCTTGCTTAGTAACAAAGATAAATATTAGAAATAGCCAAGATCCTGGGGGAGCCCATACAGATCTATTTACTGGCAAAGCAGGCATATTTCTACTCAGGAAAAAATAGAAGCTGTAAATTATACTTTTGTTTGTATTTCATTTGTTCAAAGCCTAAGGCTCTTTCACTCTGAATGATCAAAATGTTAAAACCCTTTAAGAGCAGAGGGTACGTCTGTTTTCAAGATTGTTATATTTGTGCTTTTCTCTCCAGCATTTCACTACTGTATGTGAAAGAGACTTGCATTAATTCAATGGAAGTGCCAATTTAATCTTAATTAATAAAAAGGGTGATGTTTAAGGGTACCAGATCACAGCTGGTCTTCATGAACAAATGCTGTCTAAATGATGACTTGCAAAACCATGCTTTGTAAGCCTATAAATGACCAACCCACATAATATTGCATCTATAATGTAGAGAGAGAGATGTTTCTCTTTGTTTTCTTTCTGAGGACCATGGCTCCGGTTGTTGTACCTGTGCTAATCTCCTCTTTGGACAGGGTGTGGTGAATCCATGGCTCACATCCTGGGGTAGTGGCATGCATCATGCTTGGGGTGCAGAGATTTCTCTTATTCTCTAGTGCTGGGCCTGTGGGTTAATGTTGACTAATTAAACCAATAACTGGTTGGGTCAAGCAGCTCTGAGGTCAATTGAAATAGAAACCTGAAGACCCTCAGGCTCTGAGGAAATGGTTGGAGATCTTGACACTATATTTATCATCACAGAGCAAAGGAAGTCAAAACGGCACAAAAAGGAAAAAGAAAAACAAGCTGCAGGCCTGAAATAGTGGGCAATGTAAATGGGCTCCACTACTTTCTCATAATTTCCAGTACATTACTAGAAAATAACAGATGAGAATGAAGACATTGGGGCTGTTTGGCATGGCAGCAAAACAGAAGGGTAGATGTTTACATACAGCAATACTGGACATCGACAAACAATACACAGTAAGAAGGAGGTGAGCATATCCAGAATCTAAAGGAAGGTGGCAGGGTAGTAAACCAAAAAACCACTAGCATGCAGTGGACAGTCAAAACTTAATCTGGCAATGGCTGACTAAAAGAATCATTTCAATAAAAAGGGGTTTTGAATGCTTCAGAACTGAAGATAAAGAGTTGTATCTTAGTCATCAAGTAAAAAGACAACACATAATCAAAGGGCAAGACAGTCAACACCCAATCCCAGTTATTCTACAGTACTTGTGTTGTCTCCCTCTGATGAAGATTGCTGTCACCTTCTGTTAACAAAGTAATTCAAGTGATCTTTGCTTTCAAAAGCAGTGAAAATGAGTCTAGGCTTCTGCATTGTGATGGGCTTGGCACGGGCTTTGCCACAAAGTGCTTTACACAGAGTAACCATGATGATGCCCAGCCAACTTCAGTAAACCATATTCATATTTTTAAACACTTTGTTTTTACACAGATGTATAGTACATTTAATCTAATAACATCCAAAATGAAAATGTAAAAAAACTAAAACTGTGCATGAGCTACAGTAAGTCTCAATGTGTGAAAAATACAATTCATGACAACACATAACTAGAGAGGACAGTAGCAGTAGCAGTCAATGATAGGTACAAAGAAGGAAATGCATACTGTATAATGTTTACTGTGTACTATTATATTATAGTTTTTTTCTTTCTATCTAAAGTAGCCTCAAAGCTATAATGCACAAATAAATAAGGGTGATATTAAAAAATAGTTGACAGGAAGGTTTCCATTTACACATTTATTTAGATTATTAATGTCACAAAAGTGTGTCCTGAGCCTAATATGGCTGTGATATAAATGGAGAACAGAGCATACAAGCTGACCTGACTGCTCTGTTAAAAGCACTAGAAAATCTAGAACACTGAAGTGTGTGATTCACAGTCTGTCCTACCATCTGCAGAGAACTGTACAAGGCAAAAGCTTGGTTTTAAACAGTATGGGCTTGGGAACA